CTAATAAGATAATTAATATCTTCATATAAAGATTTATGTTCAAGTAATGCAATTTTAGCAATTTCTTCTATGCATCTTTGCTGACTGCAATGTCAAGAGTTTTATTGTTCAGTAAGTTTCTTATTTTTTTATACTTTTTTTGATATAATTTCTTTAATTAAACTATCTTTTCACAATACTTGTTTATTTATCTTTTCAACTCTGATATCTCTAGTTTTTGATCTTTCACTTGTTGCTACAATTTAGTAACAACATTAGTAAGATATAATATATACTTATTAGTTTCTGTTTGATTTTCATACTCATTGATTATCTCTTCAGAAGTAGAACCAGTATCAATTTGAGATCTCTTATGTTCATGATCTGTTTGATCTAAATCAGAATTACCTAAAAGATTTCAATAAAAAATGTCATGAGTTATAACCTCATTATAATGCATTTAACAAACAGAATGAGAATTCAAAGAAAGATTAATAAGCTTTGGTATAAAATTATGATATAATGCAAGCTGCCCAGCTGTTTTTAAACTATTAGTATTTCACCAAGTCTGTGATTTTTTTGTATCATAGGGACTTAATCTGAATCCTACATATCTACTAGCTATTATAGAAAATATACAAGAAAGCTATCTAGGTTTTGATTTTTTTTAGGCTACTGGATGTTGCAACATCTTAAATTCTAAGTTTTTAGTATGCTGTTATATAATAAAAAGCTATATATTAAAGTTAAAAAGTGATTTTTTTAAAAAATTTTAGGCTTTGACTACTTTTTTACAAAAAGCTGATCTCAAAAAGATCACAAAAGATTATTAAAATAGAGGTTTTTTGCTCTTAGTCTAAATAGTTATAGGTGCAATTGATTATTATGAAAAGCCACTATTTTTGGCTAAAAGAAACCTGACAAGGATTGGCAGAAGCCAATTAGATTTTAAGGAGTATTTTAGAATGGATTTCCATTTTGGTAATGTGCCTGACTGTGTAATTATCAAACTCCCAATTCAAATAGTCTAAAAGGACTATAATCTGTTCTTAGTATATCAAAACTAATCTGATATCCTTTTTCTTTAGTTTGAAATCTGATAGCCTAGTTGATAGTATCTCTTACTTAAGGTTTTTGTCTGTTCAAATCTTCTATATTAGTATTTGTTTTCTAAATCTAGTCTTTATAGTAATACTGTTAAAGATTTATACTATCTTTTTATTTAGTTTTCTAAGTAGGCTTCAGTTTTTTTCAGTTTTATATATTTATATAGTCACAAAGATTTATCTTAGATTTGCATTGCTTAGTACTGATTTGCATTTTTCTATATAACTAAAATTATACAGATGGCTTGTAATCTGCCAATTATATTAATACGATTATAGTTACAGATATTTTATTTTAACTAATTAACAGAATGCCATTGCTAAAATACTGTCTAGGGGTGTGGTGACCTAGTAAAGTAGTCAGGTTGTCAACTTCCAAGTGGTAGGTTGAGTGTTCAAATCCTATTAATAGCAAAAATTTGAATAATTACCTATATAATATTTGTATTATGGCAACTGTTACTAACAATTGGGTTAGGATACCTGTAATGATGATCGCATCAGCATGACTGGCAGGTCATGAGGCATCTGTGTAAGTATAACATTACACAGAAGAATGCAAACTGACAAATTGGGCAGTACAAACACTAGATAAGTCCTTGTGGCTGTGTAAATCTGTTAAAATTGGGTAACAAGAAGTTTATTTGGAAAGACCCGAGTAAAGAGGTAGCTAGATCTTCAACAGCCCTACTGTAAAGGCTAGCCTAGAAAAACAGATACCAAGGTCATAGTACCCGGTCATAGTAGCTAGATGGGCAAGAACCTCTGGGTTAAGAGGCTTAAAGATATTATCAACTAGGCTGCCAGAACAAAATTAGAGGAAAAGGATATTGGGCTGACCTAATATACTGATGGACTGATCATAGTTCTACATGGGCTATCTGGATTGAGAGTTTGGTAAAAAGGCTAAACAAAAGACAGAGGTATACTAAAGTATTGGAGTTATACTGTGAAGTAGATACTGGGATCTAAGTGAACTCTACAAGAGCATAGCAGTTTAATAGTTAGCCCTGACTGCAAGTATTGATTCTGCTATAGTGATACCTAGATCAGCTGTAAAAATAGATACAGAAGGCTTTGAAGGGTTTATCTTGAGAATAAATTAGTTCTAAGATAAGGATGATGATCTGGTACATCTGAGATGACCAGTAATATTAACACAGGTTACAGATTCAGAAGGTTTAAAGTAGAACATCCAAGCAGGAGTATTAGATATGGCAATTGGTAGAGAACCTTCAGGCAGACTCCTTAAATAGGTAATATAGAAAAGTTACACATATAGCCAATTGTACACTCTCCTGTAGTGGTTCATTGAACCACAATACCAATAAGTAATTAATAAAAGCCAAAAGACCAAAAAGGTCATCTTAATAAAAAAAATAAAAATAAAAAAATAAAATATTGCCTATATATTATATAAATGATTGTTCAAATTTTTGCTATTGGTAAGTTTTGAAATTACAACTTATTACTTAGAGAGTTGACAACTTATCTACTTTACTAAGTCATTATACTCTATAAGATTTTTGTTTTTGTTTTTGTTTTTTTTTTAAATTAAAGTTTCTGTTTTTAAAAGTTGATATTTTTATTTTATTCTTTTAAATACAAATAACTTCAAGAATATCTATATATAGAAAATTATAACTAGAATTATATATATTTTTAGTATTTAATTTAGGTAATTTGCCTATATATTACTATACAGATTTTATATTAAATATCATATTTGCAAACCAACTATATTTTACTCTAATTATACCAACATCTAGATATAATAATATTATAGTAAAATCTTTTTATACTAATATTTTTTTCAAAATTTTAATATAAAATGTTAGTATAACTTACTGTATTAATATTTTTAAAATTTTTATTAATATCCCAAAAATGTCAATATAACTAAAATAACATGTATAAGTCTTGCTTATTTAAATTCTTTATATATATAATTCCAATTTATATTATTATAATATCTTTAAGATTACACTTATTTAAAATATCTAATGGCTTCAAAATTCTTAAAACTACTTTATTTTTAACAGAAAATTTACTAAAACCTTTTATGTTCTATATACAACTAATCTAGTTTTATACAAGATATTATATAATATTTATAAATTATTTATATATTAATAAAATCTATAATATTTATCTTATTCTTAATTTGTAGGCTTTTTTTTTATTAAGGTCAATATATATTAACTTGTACAAAATAAGCATACAACTAGTCACATGTGTAACTTTTGGTTATTTATTTAAGTAATTTGCCTAAAGATTCTACACTAGTTGTTATACTTATAATTTACTAAAAAGCTATTTAATTAAATACTTTAATTTCTATACTACACCTAAGCAATTAGTTATTTTAGTTCTTATACAACTAAGTATTGTTTAACTTAATATTAAGCCTTTTTTTCTGTATATTTGTCAAACTGTTATCTAATTTTAGAACACATTATTTGACTATAGAGCTTATTTGTTAATTAAACTATTTACTTTATAGACTATTAACAAAGCTTGAAATAATGCAACTAAAGATTACAAATACATCAATTCAACTAATCATCAAGAGACAGTTTGTTATAAAACAGATATAATTTTCAAATTTTGCTGTAAGTAAGATTTAAATACTAGACTTGCTACTTGAAGAATAATAATTCACCTATTACACTAAGATTACCATTCTCTAAAAGACTTTTGTTATACAAAATCTTTTATAATATTTTGTATATAAATTTTGCTAATAGACCTAAATACTAGTATAAAAAAAAATAAAGTCAAATTTAAATAGTCTTTAATAAAAAACAATATAAAATAACTTGCTTTAAAATAAAATAGTTAAAGTTATATAGGTACTAATTAGAAAAACCAGAGAATATAAATAAGACACTCACAAGTAAAAATCAGATATAAATAACTTTAAAATAAAACCCTTAAATAAATAATAACTAAAATTGTATATATAGCTAACTATACTTTTACTAACTAAAAATGTACTTAAAAATATTACTAACAAATAAAACTAATTTGACCAAGTGATTAATTGCTTGTTATAACAAGAAAAAAGATTATTTATAACCTTATTTTTAATATTTAAAAAAAAAATAAAAAAGATTTTTTTAATTTAAAAACTTAATTATAATACAAACTATTTAAAAATATTTACTTTTCAATATTTTACTTCTTTTAAACTTTAACAACAACTTACATTATATAGAACCAAGAATAATATCAGAAGAAATTTTAATTTTTCAAACTAAAAAAATTTTTTTGCTTAATAACTAGTTTATTTGATCAAGAATTTAAAATCAAAATAAAAGTTGAACTTCGAAAGAATTCAATTTTTTAGACTAACTTGACCAAATAATTGTTATGACAGTGTATCAGCATGCCTAATAACAGGTTTATCCAGCGGCTTATTATGATTTTCTGCAATAGTTTAAACTAATTAAACTTTCGTTTCTGCCCAATAATTTTATTATAGAGTAGATAAATCATAGTAAGCTGTCGGACAATATATATACGCATGTAGTTATAGTATAGCAGAATCTGAACAAATAAAAGCAGAACCGTCGAAAATAAAATCAAGCTTTATTTAGACAGTTTATAAAATGGTTTGATTTATCTGTTTAGAGAGAATTGATTGTATATAACAGATAAACTTTTTTCAATTTCAGTGTCGATACGTATTTAAAGCATCTATAAATAGAAACATAATTATGGTGTGTCATGTGATATCGTATAAAAGTCAAAAGTTGGAGTGTTTACTGTACTTCCTTTGTTTTGGTTGTCAATAATTTTCTCTAGACTCGAGAAATAATCCGTTAAAGGAACAGCTCTAGGAAATAACACCAACCTTTGTTAGGATCGACTTTTTGAATTTCAATAAATTCGATAAGTATAGAACGATCCATAATGTCGTACGCTCCCGGAAATATAGTTTATGCCAAACTCAAGGGATATCCTTGGTGGCCGGCACGAGTAAGCTATTCATGTGACATATGCTCATTTTACTTTCCGAAATTGCTTACAGCCTAAAAGCTTGTGAATGATTACTGTTTGAATTTTTGTGGTTATGTGTGAAACTTGAACCTTTTTGTTTTGTACTGGGTCTCAGGTCGAAATTGAATCTACTCTTCCTTCGAACGTTCTTTCAAAAAAGCCAAAAGGACCGAAACCAATATGCGGTGTGAGATTTTTTGGAACTGGTGACTAGTACGTTTTTGTCTTGCCTTTTCTTATGTTTGCGGTATTATTATTAGAAAAACATATATGTTACGAGAGAGTATTTATGATATAATTGTAACCATATTTTCAGATTCAATAAAATCTTTAATGTTGAGTAATGTTATTAAATTTATTATTTATTTAGTGGTTGGTTTGGAAATAATGACCTTAAACCGTTTGAAAAAAAGGAGGCTGAAATATTATTACAAAAAATGCAAAATAAGAGACGGGATGATTTGCTAAAGAAATCTATTCGAGAAGCTCTAAACCCATCATCTTTTGATGATCCAATGGAGGAAGATGTTGAAGAAGCAGCAACAGATGATGACGAGGTTGAATTGGAAGATGAGAGTAAGAAATCTACTGAGTCTTTAGAAAATGATGATGGTGAATATGATAAAAAATCAAAAGTTCGTAGCAAAGGAACCAAAAAAGATAAAGGACATACAGTTTCAAAGACTGCAGAGCGTCAAACCAAAGCTTCAAGGAGCACAAAACCAAAGAGAAAGACTCGTGATTATTCTTCAGAAGAAGAAGTAGGAAGCCGTAGTGGAAAAGGCGTAAAGAAACGTAGAGCAACTGAAGATAAACTTTCAAAGCGTAAAAGAAGTTCTGTATCCTTATCATACACTGATGATGAAGCAGAACAAATGGATGTAGATGAACCCAGGGCTGAAGTAGATGTCAAAAAAAAGGTTTATTCCTTTAAAAATCAATTTTTTAACGTATATAAGCTTATTCATTGTGCCTAACTTTATCTGGATTATCATATCCACTATTAGCAGGAACGTCGTCAGAATTCAAAAAAAGATAGAGGCACGTCTAGAAGTGAAGGATCAAAATCTCCAGGCAAGTTTGATGGTGGATCACCAATTACAGGTGTTGTTGAGAATAAGCAAATAAACGATGATGCAGGTTTTGACAGAAAAGTAAACAAATTAGAATCGGAAAGTCAACATCGATCGACGAAATCGCGCCAATTTAGTAAGCTAATTCGTTTATTAAATACTACTAGCTGTATTCCATCTGTTTTATTTATTCATACTAATTAAACGTCATTTTGCTACAGAAACTCCCTCTGAAAAATTACTTCATTTTAGACATAAGCTTCAAAGAATGACGATAAAATCTACTAAAATTGAGGTTTATTATTATTATTATTATTATTATTATTATTATCATAAATGTTTATTCGTTTATATTGACTATTGCTCCTTAATAGTCACATGATATGGGAAAAATCGATGAAGTATTTACTGAAGTGGAAAATTTCCCTATTACGATTCCTTTGCTGAAGGTATATCATTTTTGAAGGATTAAAGTTTTGCTAGTATATATTCATTTGAACGAAGTAATTTCCGAATTTGTTTTATAGGAAAGTAAAATCGGAAAACTTATGAGAAAAATTGCTGATTTGAAAATCGAGCCCGACCCATATAATATCAAGGATCGAAGCGATGAATTAATTAAAAAGTGGAAGTTTTTATTGGAAGCACCCACCCAAGAAGGTACGGACGAAGACGCATCTCCCAAGATGACCACACAAGTTGAAGGAAATTCGCCGCAGCATGGAACTGTTAAAAATGAAGAAATTAACCAACTTTTACCAGATGAACAAGAAGTTGATGTCAAGAATGAGGAGCTAGATTGCGTTGAATACAACAGAATTAAGCCAGAAAGTACACCATCTGCTATGGATCTTGAAAAAGCCGAGACTCTTCCAATGGCAAACGATGATAAACATGTGTCGGAGGATGTCATCACGAATGGATCTTCACCTGCTGCCAACAATCAAGGTGTATCCATTCAAGAAAAGGAAATAGTTCACAATAAATCACCTGAATTGTGAACGGCATTTTTGTCTGAAAACCACTTCATTACTTAATGTATGGTAATTTGTATCATGGATAATAAATAATACTGGTTATTACTATCTCAGGATATATTCTAATTAAACTTTTTTGTAACATCGCTTCATTAAATGTGTGATATGTTTTTTTAGATCACCTTATGTCTGCTATATTTTTCTCGATAGTTGCTGTAAATATTTATATAGATTAGGCGGGGAATTGTCACGATCAAATACCTTTTTTTCCTTTTTTTTTTTTTTTTTTTTTTTTTTTTTCTTTTTTCTTTTTTCTTTTTTTTTTTCTTTTTTTTTCAATAGTTGCAAAAAAAAAATTGTCCGGTTCCGCGGTAGCATACTATGCCATTATTGTATTATCCTATTTCTTTTATTCCAAGAAATAAATATGAACTTATTGTTATCAATTTTTTATATTCGTCGTGTTAAATCACGTGCCAAATGCTAAACTAAATTGTACCACCATAAATTCATAAATCTGTAATTTTTTTTAATGATATTTGATTTCTTATTTGCTTTAGAATGTCGAATGTATCGTCGTCCAATGTCGCGTCTAATCAAGAAATTCAGGAATCAAACATAACACTCATTAAAACAATTAAGAATTATCTGGCAAGCAAAGACTATAAATTTTATGTTGCTGCGTCTGCTACAGTGATACTAGCTGGAATTGGTCTATATTACTTTTGGACTCCAAAACCTCCAAAATCAAGAACACATAAGCCGTCAAATCGGCCGAGAAAACCTAGAAATTCAAAACAGACAGAAAGTACTGAGCCAGATTCACATTTTGGTGCATGCTTGTTATTCACAGTTGTCTAAAATTATGCGAATGATTTATTAATATATTTCAGCGAGAGACAGAAGGAATAGAGAGGAGGATGCTGAAGCCGAAGAATTCGAAAAATATTCTACTGAGCAAATCACTGCATTACCTAGAGAGGTGATTTATATTATAATTTATCTAAATCAAATTATTGAATAAATTTGTGTCTCTAAATCAGATTATTGAATACATTTGTGTCTCTAAATAAAATTATTGGATATATTTGTGTCTAAATATTTCTTTTTTACAGAAGCGTGTCACAGCTTCAAAACTGCTTAAAGATCGAGGGAACATCGCATTTGGACAAAAGAATTATCAGAAGGCTATAAAACTCTACACTCAAGCAATTGCCTTTAATCAAGATGACCCTATCTTTTACAGTAATCGAGCTGCATGTTATTATAACATAAATGAATATTTAAGGGTCATAGATGATTGTAATAGCGCGTTGGAGATGGATCCTTGTTATGTTAAGGCTTTAAATAGGCGAGCGATGGCATATGAACAAACCGCACGTTATGAAGAATCATTGCATGGTATGATTGCTAGATCTTTGTTAAAAAAGAATAACACTCGATCATACTAAAATTATAAATTAGATTTCACTGCGGCCTGTATTATTGGAGAGTTCAAGAATGAAAATGCTACTGCTTCAATTGATCGTCTCTTGAAAACAGTGGCTAGCATCAAAGCCAAAGAAATTATCAAGGTGATAAACAGTGCATTCTGCTGTGCTGTTTCATAACTACATAATGATTTATCATCTTGTCTTTATTACTGTTATTGTTATTATTTATTTACTTATTTATTTTATATTAATTATAATACAAAATAAAATAAAGAACCGGAAAAAACGCCTACCATCAACAAAGTTCATTTTATCATATCTAGATTCATTCCGGAAAGGTATAAATATACCCAGTGGCTTTTCGGTTTTTTCTGATATCAATTCAATATTTTAGTATTCAACCATAGAACCTGTTGATCAAAACGCTGAAGCTAATAGTGGATCAGAAAATACCAACTCTGCTCAAGTTTCTGATATAGAATCAGAAAATCATGCGGACAATTTATTTGATGCGGCGGAACGGTTCGTACGACAACAACGGTATGAAGAAGCCATGAATGCATACGGAAAAGCTATAAATCTTGGATGCACTAAAATGGCCAAAGCTCTCAATTTGAGAGGTACCTTCACTAATTTAATGGGTGATTCACGGAGTGCTTTGGCGGATTTCCAAAGAGCCCTCGATTTAAAACCCGATTATGTTCAACTTTATGTAAAGCGGGCTACTATTTACATGGAGCAAGGTATTTATGATACAGAAATTATAATAATAAATAGAGTGGTGTATATTTCAGTATGATATGAAGCAGATAGAAAAAAATCATTAATAGAATTAAGAATGAATATAGGCTAATATATGCACAGTTCTAATAATTCATGTCAATTTATGAATTTCACAACCAGATGATGTAGATGAAGCATGGAAAGAATTTGATAAAGCTATCAAAATAGATCCGAAAGATCCTGATATATACTATCACAGGTTTGTTTTATATTTTTGAACGGATTTTAATAAAATGCATAATTTAAATTTATACCTATTTCAATGTGAAATGTTCAGAGGTCAAATCCACTTTCTTCATAATAACTTTGATATGGCTGTCAAAGATTATCAGCGTAGAATTGAACTAGATCCTGATTTTGTATTCGCATACATTCAGCTTGCTATAGCTCAATATAAAAATGGATCAGTTGAGAATGGAATGAAAACTTTCCAACTGGGACTGCAAAAATTTCCTAAATCCGCCGAAATGCACAACTACTACGGAGAGCTCCTTGCGGACCAAAGACGTATTGATGAAGCTATTGAGCAATTTGACAAGGCCAATGAATTACAAACTGGAAGTTTCGCGTTACCATTAGTTAATAAGGCAATGCTTTATTTCCATGTGAAGGGTGATTCGAATTTGGCGGAAGACTATTGTCGTAAAGCGTTGGAAAGTACGTAGGGTATACAGAGAGGCCTCTCTAAATGCACCCCCTCGAGGTATAGTAAAAAATTCCAAAATTATGCACTTAAAGAGGGTGTGCATTTATAGAGAGAAAAATATATAGTGCAATTATAAGCTGGGATCAGACTACACCGTGCATTTAGAGATTTTACATAAAGGGTGCACTTAGAGAGGTCTCTCTGTAGTGAGATATTCTAAACATTTTATATTTTAATCAATGGAACTTTTTACACATATAGTTGAGCCTGAAAGCGATATTGCTAATACGATCATGTGTGAGATATTACTTGCCAGAGGTAATTTAGAGGATGCACTGCAATGTCTTGAAAAATATCAAGAAGTAGCACGTACTGAGGCAGAGTTACAGGGCTTATTAGAATATGCAGAGGTAAATCCATATATTTATTTAACCACTCATAAGCTTCATATATATTTGTGATCTTGCTCAAATGAATTATTTTTAACAGGCAGCACGATCAAACATAGCATTCAAGTCAAGATACTCTCAATTTGCTGATCGATTGACGCCGATCGCTCGATAAATAATCCAAAAATTTGTTTTTGTTTTCGCTTGTACATTTTGACAAAAGAGTAAATAATGAGTTTAACACAATTTTTTAATCCTAAAAGTATCAACCTAGTAGTTAAATTTTATATGCAAAATTAAAATGTAAAAAGATATTCTGTATTATATCAGAGTCGAGAATGATTATTGTAAAGCTTTTGCGATTAAATTCATTTAATTGAATATAAGAACCATATACATATGGGTTAGGTGCCGAGAAAAAGGACGAATTTTATAATAAATCATAAGAAAATGCAAACTTTAAGGAAAATTTATTATTACAACTACTTTAGAGTCTTAAGTAAAAAACGATCCTAATCTTATTCTAAATTAATTAATGTAAAAAAAGTTCATTTGAAAAAATTGTCAATTCCCAAGTCGAAAATTGATTAGTTATAGTGTTCCGCAAAATCGATTCCGGGCGGGTTTTATTAGGAACCGTACCAGACCCGTCATGTGAAATCGAGTCCTTA